GGACTACATGCTGGGCCACAAAAAAATCTGAACAAACTTAAGAAGATTAAGATCATAAAAAGTATCTTCTCTAATCATAACGAAATGAAAACAGAAATAAACAGCAGAAGGAAAAAAATCCAAAATGTGAAAATTAAACAACTCATTCCTGAAAAACCAATGTGTCAAAGAAGAAATCACAAGAGAATTTTTCAAATATCTGGAGGAAAATAAAAATACGACATATCAAAATTTATAATACACAGCGAAAGCTGTGCTAAAAGGGAAGTCTACACTGAAAAATGGTTATAGTCAAATAAAGATCTCAAATCAGAAATCTATTTTTTCACCTAAAGGTAATAGAAAAAAGAACAAAGTAAACCCAAATTTAGCAGAAGAAAAGAGGTAAATAAGAAAAATTAGACCACAGATAAATGAAATAGAAAACAGAAATATATACATGCAAGTTAACAAACCAAGAGTTGATGTTTTGAAAAAATTAAATTTACAAACTAAAAAACAAAGAAGATTCAAATAACCTATAACATATAAAAGAGGAGAGACTGCAACTGCTGTCACAGAACATTTTTTAAAGAATTGTAAGGGAGTGTAATATACAATAATAGGCCAAAAAATTACACAGTCAGGGAAATTCTTAGAAACATGTAACCTGCTAAGCATTAATCACTAAGAAATAAAAAAATATCTAAACAGAATTATAACTGAAGAGATTCAAGCAGTAATCAAAAACTTCAAACAAAGAAAACCTAAGACCAGATGGCATCACTCCTGGAAATCTACCAAACATTTACAGAAGAATTACCTCTAATCCTGATAAAAATCTTCTGAAGAGTTGAAGAGGGAACACTGGCAAACTTATTCTATGGAGCTGGCATGACTGTGATACCAAATCCACAGAAAGACACAAGGAAGGAGAACTAAGAACCAATATCCCTGATGAATACTGATGCAGACATCATGAACACAACACTAGCACACTAAAGTCACAGCAAAGTAAAACAATTTTACCTCATGACCAGGTGGAATTTATTCCTGTAAGGCAAGCATTAATCAATATACAAAAATTACATTAATATACCACATTGACAGAATAAAGGGAAAAACAACACACAGTCACCTCAACTGATTCAGAAAAAAAGCACTTGACAAAATTCAACAACCTTTCAAGATAAAAACACTCAACAAACTAAGAACAGTAAACTATCTCAACATGAAAAATGACATACAGGAAAAGAACAGTTAACCTCATACTCACTGGTGAAAAAGTGAAAGTTTTTCCTCAGATAAGAAGGCAAGGATGCATATTCTGCACTACTGTTCAACAAAGTACTGAAAATCTTAGCCAGAGGAACTAGACAAGAAAAAAAAAGCCAACATTTATTCAAACTGAAAAAAGGAAAATTACCCCTTTTACGTAAAAATTGTAAAAGATTCCACAAGAAAACTGCTACATCAAATAACAGTTTTAGAAAAAGTGCAGGACACAAAATCAACACGCAAAAATCAGTTGCATTTCTATACACAGTGCACAATGTCAGATGAAAACTAGGAAACAATCTCTTTTCTATAGCATCAAAAAGAATTAAATACTTCAGAATAAATCAGCCAAGGAGGTGAAAGACCTGTATGCTGAGAACTACAACTGTTGCTAAAAGAAATGTAAGATGATACAAATAAACAGAAAGACATCCTAAGCTCGTGGGCTGGAAAACTTGCAATGCCTGGAAAACGCTAAGTGCTCTACAGAGTCAATGGAATCCTTATCAAAATTCCAATAGCAATTTTTGCAGAAATTGAAAAACACCACATGAAATTCATAGGGAATCACAAGGGACCCCAAAAAGTCAAAATACTTTTAAAAAAGAAGAAAGATGGAGGCCACCCTTTTTCAGATTCAAAACATATTACAAACACACTAATTGAGATAGTGTGGTACTGGCATAAACACAGAGACATAAACCAATTAGAAAACTCAGAAATAATCCTTGGAATACATGGAAAATGCACTGACAAGGGTACTGAGCCTACACCACGGGGAAAGGACAGTCTCAGTAACAAATGGTGCTGGGAAACTGGACACCCACGAGCAACAGGATGAAGCCAGAACCTCACCTGCCTCAGAGAAACTTCTGCGTTTCAAGGGGTACAGTCAACACAGTGAAAAGGCAACCTCCAAGCAACGAGAGTGATGAGAATGAATTAAGGAATCTCCAAGCAGATTTCTCAAAAGACTAGGAATAGACTTACCATATGACCCAGGAATCCCGCTCCTGGACATACATCCAGAAGGAACCCTACTTCAAAATGACACCTGCACCCCAATGTTCACAGCAGCACTATTTACAATAGCCAAGTCATGGAAA